ATATTTGTTGACTTGACTAGAAGGTAATTGTGAAGCATTAATATCGTTTACCTTGTCTAGTATCATCCTAATATCTCAAGTCACTGTGACAAATGAAAGACATGGATCTTTTCTTTCTTTTTTTTTTTATGAGGACCATTTTTAAGTCTGTATTAAATTTGTTATGATATTGATTCCATATTATGTTTTGGTTTTATTTTTTTTTGGCCCCATGGCATGTGAGATCTTAGTGCCCTGACCAGGAAATCAAACTTGTATCCCCTGCATTGGAAGCTGAAGTGTTAACCACTGTACCTCCAGGGAAGTCCCATTACTCTTTTCTTTGTGATGCTTATAATCTATTTAGTGAGACAAGCCTGTCACACATCAAAAATCAGTAATTTAGAACAATGAACATTTATTATCATACACAGTTTCTGTGGATCCGAATCTAGGAGTGACTTGGTCCTGGCTCATGGGGTCTTTTGGGGTCACAGCCAAGGCACTGACCGGCGCTGGGCATCTGAAGGTTGCCTAGGGCTAAAGGGCCACTTCCAAGTGCTCTCAGTCACTCGCTGTAAAGTCAGCACTGGTTGTTGGCAGGAGGCTTCAGTTGCTCACCATGTGGACCTCTCCAGGAAGCTGCTTGAGTGTCCTCACGGCCGGGGGTGGGATTCTCCCAGATGAGTGACCCAGAAGAGAGCCAAGTGGAAGCCTCAGGGTCTTTTCTGACCTGCCTTGGAGGCCACCTCCCCCCATGTCTGTGACTGCCTGATGGTCACACAGGTGAGCCCTATCCACATGAGCACGCGAATCCCAGGACGGGAGAGCCACCTTGGAGACCAGCAACAACACATATGGAACAAACAACGAGACATCTATGCCCACACATAACTGAGTACCGAACTGCGAAAACAATCCAATCTGTTTTGCAGGCTTGGACTTAGTAGTTGGAAAGGCTTAGTTGAAGGACAAGTTTAATCCTCATCTGGGCAAAGGTTCCAGATATTTTCATAACATAAACCCTTACGTATTCAGTAAGTACTTATTAAATAATGGTTCATTAAATATTTATAAATAATATTTATTAAGCCCTTGCTGGCTGTGCTAGGTCCAGGATTATGACTAAAGCCCAGACTCTGAGAAGAGGGAACTCAAACTCCATAGTGTAAAGGTCCAAACTTTGGAGCCATATGGTTTTAAGTGAATTGAAATTCTTCAGGCAGGTGGGCAAGGACCATCATGGAAAGCCAGTTTTTCTCTGGACACTAAACACAGAAATTACAAATACACAAAATACATGTTTTTTGCTGAAGGTGGGTCTGGCTGTTCAGTGCTCAAAAGATAATAAAAAGGGAAAGCTTGCTTTATTTTGGATGCCAGCAACCAGGGTGGGGAGGGTCAGGGCGGTGGGTGCATAGACTCATGTCGAAAGGCTAATTCCCACAACCCTTTTGGCCCCATGGCATGTGAGATCTTAGCATGTTAATCCAACAACATGCATTGATGCCATGCCATCACACTGATGATGTGTGATGTGGGCAAGAGCTTTTACAGATGGAGGGAGGGAGCTACATGCAGAGACAGCATGGTCAGCTCCGACATGTGCTTCAAGTAGTAAACTTACAGCCGGCAGTGATACACATCATAAATGATTACACTCTATGACAACTTCACTATAAGTTGATTTATCAATTTTTTAAATCCCGAACCTTGGAGTCAGAAGTAGGGTTAGAAGTAAAACAACAGGTTTTCATTAGAGCTTTTTAAAACTTTTTACTAATATTTTTCTCTGAAATGCCTCACGGACCCTCTGGAATACTCCTAGTTAGAGAAAGAAACCTACAATCCATTATCAAAAGCAACTCAATATTCCAGGAAAATTGTTTTCTTAAGAGACAGAAAACCAAAATCAGTCTTGCATCAGTTTACTGTTAACAACAAAATTCACTTACCTAATTAAATTTATTTTTAATTTTAATTAAAATTAAAAAATTTTTTAAAAACCCATTTTAATTCTGACAATATACAAAATGCTTTTTTTCTTCCCATTTATTTTTATTAGTTGGAGGCTAATTACTTTACATCATTGCAGTGGTTTCTGTCATACATTGAAATGAATTAGCCATGGATTTACATGTATTCCCCATCCCAGTCCCCCCTCCCACCTCCCTCTCCACTCGATCCCTCTGGGTCTTCCCAGTGCACCAGGCCCGAGCACTTGTCTCATG